CATAGTAAGGGTTCAACAGATACTAGTATTATGATTATTCTCCTTGGTAACACTTTCACAGTCATGGTTAAATGATGAATTGAGTCATTGCTTCTTTAATAATGTTCCTCTACTCCATTAGACTCTAAACTCCATGGAGACAGAAAGTGTTGTCTTGCTTACTGCTACTTCCTCTGCATCCAGTGGAACACCAGGCACTCAACAGGATGTAATAAATGTGTGTCCAGTGAATGAATACACAAATGAATAGATGTGTGGGAGAATAGATAGAGTTTACCTTATGGGATATTTACAACAGCAAATATAATACCAGCAGGAAGGCTAGGGCGCCTACTTTAAGTGCATGTAGCTGTCAGAGGAAGCAGGAACTGTTTGTAGCAGAACACATCAGGGAACTGCTGTCCAAGGAGGCAGCTTTTTGTCTAGACATTGAAAGAAAGACAGAATTTGAAAATGTAGTAATTTTTTGTTGGGGCTACAGGACAGGAAAGGATGGAGATTGACAAACCAAACAAATGTCAGGAGTGTTTTGTTTTTGCTAACCTCTGAAAAATAATTTGACAAAAATCACTCCTTTCCACTACCAAGATTAATTTCCAGATTGGTTTTGGCCTCTTTACAAAAACCCAACGCGTGAACACTAGAAGATCTCTTGCATTATTTCAGATTATGAAAATCAAGTGACTTTGTTAGCAAAAATATGACAGATGCTAACAAAGCACACTCGTTCGTAATAGAAACAGCCCAGATCTTGAAGGGTCTTGGGTACCAGTGAAAGTGATCACCTTTACCTGAGCACAATGAGGACCCCAACAGGGAGTAGCTTGGGAGATGAGTGCTTCAGTGAGGTCAGTCTGGCCTCTGCGTAGAGATGAAGCAGAAGGGAAAGGAAAGACAGCTGTAGCTATGGTGTATGTGAGGGGCAGGGAAGGTCTGAGCTGGAAAAGTCACTGTGAAGCTCGGAAGTTAACCAAGTGGGGTTGCATTTGAGATGATGTCATTATGAGGGTTTTAGACTCTTAGAATCATAACGAGAACTCAGAGGCCAGCTCTTGCATCCTAAGTTCGAAATCAATCAGTTCTTTCAAATCCTTAACTTTGCTGATGAGAAAACTGAGTCTGGTATTGGTCTTGCGGTGAGCAGGTTGAGCTGCCTCTTGGGAAGCCAACATCTTATATCAAACTAACAGTTCTAGTCACAGGTGCTACAGCTTGGGGGTGGGGGGTGGTTCTAAGAAAGGAGGGGATCTTAATCACGGATGGTTTCTAAGATTTGCAACAGCTCAGCGTCCTAACGAAGGTTCTTGGCGCATAGTCACTCTTCCAGACAATGTCATTATTGCCTACTCTGAGGAACTTGGACCCTTCCTCCATCAAGTGCAAAGCTGTGGAGAATTCTCATGACCTATTCCTGGCATATGATGTTAGGGTGTGCTTTCTTTTCCTTTCTCTCCCTCTTAACTTCACAGACAGGAAAATGGAGTCAGAGGAGACCAGGAAGTTACTCAATGCCATAAGGTTAATCTGAAGGATTACATCATATTTCTCAGTATTTTCTTAAGATACAGCCAGCTCACATAGATCAGTAGATTTAATAGTGAGTGCCTTTGATGTTAACTTAAAAAGAGAAAAAGATTGGAAATGACACAAGATGACTTTCTCTCTCTCTCTCTCTCTCTCTCTCTCTTCCTCTCCCTCTTTCCCTCTCCCTCTCTCCCTCTCTCCCTCTCTCTGCCTCTGGTTCTCTCTGTGAATATCTTTGTCCTTTAATCCAGAAGTTTTAGAGATTTAGCAGATTTAAAGGGTCCTCCAGAAGACACATTGCCTGAAGGGGTTGGGGAGGCTGCTCCATGTTTTTAACTGCATGAATGTGGATTTATTCTTCCATTAGCCAAGGACAATATCCATTGGCTTCCTCACAGGTGAGAACACTGTGTACTGGTGGGTCTATGCAAGATTAGCAATGTAGGTAAGAAAAGTTCATCTTCTGGTATCTCTCCACATGTTAGAGAAGACTTGAAAACTGTTGTGGAAAATGTGAATTGTGAAACAAATTTCATGCTTATGTCCCACAAATTTTTACCCTAAAACAAACTCATCTTTTAATTCCTTTTTTCAACAAGCTTGTTTTTATTTGAGAGGCAGAGAGAGAGAGGAGAGAGAGAGAGCAGGAGAGAAAGAAACTCCCACATCTACTGGCTCACTCCATAAATGCCTGAAATGACAGGGGTTGAGCTGGGCCAGAGCTGGGAGCAGGGGAAACTCAGCCCAGGCCTTCCATGTGGGTAGCAGGAATTCAATGAATCACTACAGCCATTGCCTGTGGCCTGTCAGGGTCTGAATTAGCAGGAAATTGGAATCGGCAGAAGAGCTGGGGATTGACTTCAGGTACTTAGAGGTGAGATGTAGGCATCTTAAGCAGTGTCTTAACTGCCAGGCCGAATACCAACCCCTCCACAAACTTTATGGGCTGTCCTCAACAAAGTAGCCACAAAAGTTGAAATGACCTTCAGGTAGCATCACTGTTTCTATTGGCCAGGCCCATGCTGTACTGGCTGTCAGGTATTTGAGTATTACCTCCTCCTGAAAGGGGTGGCAATCTTCTTTCTTTCAAGTGGAGAACCTCTCACCTTGCTGTGTAAATGACAACCATGCATCCAGAGAATGCCCCTCCCCATAGTGGGTTCCTCCCTACATCTCTATCTCTTTCCACTTGTGATTTTGTCATCTATAAATCAAGCAACAGAGAGAGGAATGTTAATTTTACCAACTACCTTAGGTGAAGCAGGGCTGGAGGAAGATGAGGACAGTACTGGTTGATGGCTTGAAAAAAGGGATGGGCATGACCATCTGGGGACATTATAATTCCTACTGACTCTGACAAACAAATGAGGCACTGCCAAAGTCAGGAAAGGGTAGGCAGAGGTGGGGCCCGCTGTCGACCCCCTATAAGTACCTCTCTGGGTGTCAGATACTAAGAGAGGCTCATTAACTCTTCACTTACTAAGTCTCATCCCCTGGATGAACTGCCTCAATTTAGAGCCACCAAGGACAGTGCACAGTAAAGATTAAGTTGCCTTCCAAGTACCTGACTCATCCCAGGAATAGTTGTTATCAAGCAGGCTAAATCACCCTATCCCATAAAGGTTGGAAAGCCTCAATTTAGGAACTAAGTAATGCCTTGCTGTGATTTTCCCTACTGCAGATGCGTATTCCTGTAACTGAAATTGCAAGGTATAGTTTACAAAAATAAACATTGAGTTGCAGAATTTAAAAAATGTGTTTGAGTGCCAGATTTGCAAATTGGGTCAGTTTTCCAGAGCCCCATGTTTCCCTCTTTTCCTCTGGGGAAAAGGAAAAGGCAAGAGTCAGCAACTGGTGATGGAAATACAATACCCCTCTGGCATGTAAACCTGGGCCATCATCAGTGTGTTATGCAGAACACAGTTCCTGATGCTCCCTGCAATGCCTTGGCCAAGGCCGGCCCCTCCTCATGGTTGCCCTCTGGATTCCACTGATAATCAGGCGACAGTCATCACAGCCCGCATCGCTGGAGCTCTTCATGGCTTTTAATTTCCAGAAAACTCAGTGAGAAAACTAAAGGAGGTACAACCATTTCCGTTTTACTGATGAGGAAATTTACAGTTGGAGAGTGTTAAGTTACTTCTTCAAGGATGCAGCTACTTTATAGTAATCCTGGATCATAGATCTTCTAGTTTAGTGCTCTTCTTATAACATTTGAACAGAGAAAAGTCAGTCAGGAAAGGATTCTCTACAAACTAGATTATCTTTGTCCTCAGACCTGATAAGGTTGAGATGCCATGTGATATTAGACTCTTAAGATGCAATAATGATTAATCTAGCCACCATAAAGGTCAGCTTACATCACCATCATTATAAAGAATTTTCATAAATCAATCATTCTTAGTCTGTTTTGTGTTACTGTAACAAAATACCTGGTACTGGGTAATACATAAAGAAAACAGGTTTATTTGACTCTTGATTTTAGTGGCTGGGAGTGCCAAAGTGCATGGTGAAATCTCCTGGTAAGGCCCCCTGGCAACATCACAACCCATTGGATAAGTGGAAAGGGGACTGACTGTGTGTAGAAGTAGCTGAACATGTGGCGGTGACCTCACTTTGTAGCAACATGCTCTCCTGAGAACCAGGCAGTCACATGAAACAACCTGATCTGGAGAGATGAGCATTAGTCCTTTCTGATGGGGGTGCCTCTGTGATCTGATCCTCTCACTAGGCCCCACCTCTTAAAGCTGCCTCCAGATCAATGCCATTACTCAGCAGATCAAGTCTCAATTTGAGTTTTGGTGGAGATAAATCACATCCAAACCATAGCAGAAATAGTTTGGGTAAGATAAATTATATTAATATATTATTTTATAAAATATAGTATAAAATAATACTATAAAGTACAATTTATATTTCTACAACTAAGGCCAGGAGTTTTCAGACTGGTGGGCAATATAGCCCACTGATATTGGTCATGAAGTCAATTTAATGGGCTCCTACCAGAATCAAAAGAAAAACTAGGGTAAGATAGGAACTAATGTAGAGTAAGAGAGTAAGAACTGAAAATGCCAAAGATTATTACACGTGGCAAAACTGAATGGTGTTCTCTGAATCCTTTTGTTCATGTGGTACTTGTCTTGGGTCATGATGTTAAAGGCTTTTCTTGCTGAGATGTCTTTTCCTTCTTTTGCTTTCATTCTCTGTTTCTCCTTCACTCTACTTCCTCATTTCTTCCCTCTCTCCCTCTCCAGGAAATGGCTACCTGTGTTCCATGTACATACAGGGACCACCCTCCCTCCTCTCTCCCCCACCTTCCCCTGACATTTCCTCATCCAAGGGTTGAGACAGAGATTCTACTTCAAAGTTACTGCAGTCATCTTTATTTAAAAAGGTCCTTGTGCAGTACTTCTTGCTCTTCTCTTTGTCTCATAAATAAAGTGCTCTGTCTCTAAACCATCATATTTCCATTTCAGGCAAAGCAACTCAAACTTGAAGAATGAAATCCCCAAGGAGAACCACTTTGTGCTTTATTTTTATTGTGATTTATTCTTCCAAAGCTATGCTGAACTTGAATTTAGACTCTACGGTTCATCCTTTGGTGAGTAAATCCATGTTTGCTATGTTTCTTCTTGTTGTATTTCACTGATTTCCTGAGAATATCGGACATGGAAAAGGGCTCTTAGAAAACAATAGAGTGGGGGGAGTACTTTAAGAAAATTTTGCAGATTGGAAGGGGGCAGTGATTGAAAAATGGATGTTAGCCTGTTTACGTGCCATACTCTGAAAGCAGTCATGGTACATCAGCATAGCTTCTAGAAAGATCTCCCAGCCTTCCCCACCCCCAACTACATTGTATTGTCTGGGCCTGAGGGTTCCACTCTGTGAAACCAACAACAATGACAATAAGCAAATTTAAAGGATTGAGCAGAACGTGTGGGATTCATTTTAACTTTGGCATCAGAATAGAACATATTTCGAAAGACATGAATCTGTGTGTCACAATCACAGATTGACATCATGGAGGGCAGCACAGCAATCGTCTAAGATCTCTGCTGATGACTTATTCAGGCTATGTTGTCTTTAAAACGTCAGTGGGAGCTTAGCTTAGGTAAAAGGGGATGATAAGAGTACCTCTTTTCCTCCTTCAGGGAATTACTGGGTTATTCCTTATCCAAATCTGCATGTGCCAGAGCAAGGGTATATTATTGGTTTAAAAATCTTGCAAGACTGATGTAATTCTCTCTCTCTCAGTTTCTTCATCTCTGAGATGATGACAGTAGCAGTATAGACTCCTTCTGAGTGTTATGAAAATGAAATCAGTTAATACAAGGGTGCTTCAAAAAGTTATTGGAAAAATTTGTGCTATGGAAAAACTATATGTGTATTTCAAGAAATCTCTGCATCAAAAAAATGTCATAATTCCATTTCACTGTTGAGTTTTCTGAAGTGGTCTCATATTTATAAGTTCCCTTAGGAAAATCCTGACACATGTTAATGCTGTATAAATCTTTTCTATTATTATCTCTCTCTTTGCCATGGAGCTGTTTCTGCTGATGTAAATATTCTTTTGTTTTAGATATTTTAGTTCTCTTTTATTCAGTCTGCTACTATTTTTGGAACTTCATTGGTTTATTTCAGCATTATAAATTGTATCTCTCTTTCCTACCTGGTACTTTTGAATTAAATTCGTTATCTTCTATTCCAGTTGTCAATTTTGGTTGCCTTATCTTTACTCATTTTGTTGTCTTTGTTCAGTATTTAATATACTGTTCTTCTTTTGTCTTGCAAAAATACATGTAATTGAGTTTTTTTCTTTTAAATCAAGTTTGAGAACATTTAACTTTGATTAGGGGAGTATAATTTATTCACATAGATACCATATTTGAAATGTTTGATCTCACTTCCAGAACTTTGTATTATGACTGTATGCATTTTCTTCTTCTTTTGGCTTTTGGGCCCCTCATTATTTTCTTTGTCTTTTTCTTTATTTTTCTTGTGACTTGGGAGTATACAGGATGTGTCTCCTCTTCCAGACTCCAGTGTGTGGAATTCCACCTGTGCAGTCATACGCAGTAGCTTGCTCATACAAATTGAGGAGGGAAACATTTGCACACTTTGTGAATTCACATGGCTTGTAGAGCCCTAGTTACCCAACTCATATGGTGACAAAGTCTGGAGGCGATCTCAGCAGTTGGTGATTAGCCTCACCCCTGTCGCAGAATGCCTTGTATTCATGGCTGCAGCAGTGCCCTCTCACTGTGCCAGGTCTTCCCTCGTGGTAGTAGCTCTGGAAGGGCCCTTACCTCTGCCTGGTGGCACAGGCAGGGTGGGAGATAAGCCAGTGAATCTTCTGGAGTGGAATTTGAACCAAAAGCTCTCATTTTCCTCAAAGCTCTCACCCCCACCCTAAAGTGCCCCACTTTTCCTCCTTAGATCTGCCCTTAAAGACATGAAATCTTCATATAACCCAGAAACCAAGGATCTCCATTGGAGAGGTGCACTTCAGTCTACTTGGTCAGCTTATGCTGCTGTAAACTGTCACCCAATCTCATGAGCTGACCATCTAGTACATTAAATGCTGCATATGGTGATGTGATAAGTTTTTTTAAAAAAAGATTTATTTATTTATTTGTTTATTTGAAAGGCAGAGTTACAGAGTAGGGGGAGAGGGGAAGGGAAGGACAAAGAGAGATCTTCCATTTGCTGGTTCAATTGCAACTGGCTGCAATAGCCACAGCTGAGCCAGGCCAAATCAGGAGCCAGGAGCTTCATCTGGGTCTCCTACATGGGTGCAGGGGCCCAAACACTTGTGCCATCTTCTGCTGCTTTTCCAAGCCATCAGCAGGGAGCTGGATCAGAAATGAAGCAGCCAGGACACAAACCAGAGCCTGTGTGAAATATTAGCATTGCAAGCGGTGGATTAACCCACTATCACCAGCCCCATGATAGGCTTTTTAAAACTGTTGTAAAATATGTGTAAAATAAAAATTGCTGTCTTAGCCACTTTCAAGAATGTAATTCAGTAGCATTAAATATATTCACTTAGTTGTACATCCAGTCTCCAGTACTTTTTCAATTTACAAAACAGAAAGTCTCTACCCATTGATCAGTAATTTCCTATTTCCTCCTGGCAAACACTATTCTTCTCTTCATCTCTGTGCATTTGACTACTCTAGCTATCTCATGTAAGTGGAGTCATGCAGGTTTTTTTTGTGTGTGTGTGTGATTGGCTTATTTCACTTAGAATAGTATCCTCAAGGTTTATCCATGTTGCAGGCTTTTTATAACTTGTTCTACTGTATATTCGCACCACATTGGACTGACTCATTCACTCATCACCATATATACTTGGGGTGCTTCCACTTTTGGCTACTGTGAATAATGCTGCCATGCAATCAAGGTTAAAAATATGAGGTGTGAGTTTCTGAAATGTGGTGAATTGTGGAGCCCAGTGCATCCCAGATTTCAATGTGCACATGAATCTTCCTGGAGACCTTAAAATACAGATTTCAACTCAGTGAGCCTGAGATTTGTTTCTGGCAACACATGCTCCTCTCCAGAAATCACCTTTGGAGTAGCAGAGATCTACGCTTAACTTTGACATTCACCTGGGCTTGAGTCTGTCTTTCACCCTTGCTCGCTCTGGAAGCTTCATCACATTTCTCCATTCCCCCCCAAACCCATTTCCTCTAAGGAGTATGAGAATTCCTCCTTCATTGATTTGCTGTAAGGATGTTTAATTCTCATACACATAAGCCTTTAGCATTGTGACTAGCATAGAGCTCAAGTACTTCCTAATTGGTCGCTATTTTGAAGACTAGTACAATAAACCTGCCTTAATGCCCTTGTGGGAGGAGACACTCTAGCAACACTTCTTTTTTTTCAACTTTTATTTAATAAATATAAATTTCCAAAGCACAACTTTTGGATTATAGCAGCTTTTTCCCCCCATAACCACCCTCTCATCCACAACCATCCCATCTCCCACTCCCTTTCCCACCCCATTCTTCATCAAGATTCATTTTCAATTATCTTTATATATAGAAGATCAACTTAGTATATACTAAGTAAAGATTTCAACAGTTTGCACCTACAAAGACACACAAAGTATAATGTTTGAGTAGTAGTTTTACCATTAATTCTCATAGTACAACACATTAAGGACAGAGATCCTCCATGGGGAGTAGGTGCACAGTGACTCCTGTTGTTGATTTAACAATTGACACTCTTATTTATGATGTCAGTAATCACCCTAGGCTCTTGTCATGAGCTGCCAAGGCTATGGAAGCCTTTTGAGTTCACCAACTCCAATCTTACTTAGACAAGGCCATAGTCAAAGTGGAAGTTCTCTCCTCCCTTCAGAGAAAGACACCTCCTTCTTTGATGGCCCATTCTTTCTGTTGGGATCTCACTCACAGGGATATTTCATTTAGGTTATTTTATTTTATTTTATTTTATTTTGCCATAGTGGCTTGGCTTTCCATGCCTGAGAAACTCTCATGGGCTTTTTAGCCGAATCTGAATGCCTTAAGGGCTGATTCTAAGGCCAAAGTGCTGTTAGGACATCTGCCATTCTATGAGTCTCTAGCAAGACTTCTGCTGAGGCAATTGTCCAACACAGAGACAAAGATGGCAAACTGGGATTCCACGTCAAGAAAATGAGGAGTGAGTGACAGGGCTCTGGCAAGGCGAGTGAGATTAGTGAACTTTGGTGACCATTTTGTTTGCTCTACTGTTCCCTGGGGTTTTCTTCTCCACACATAAAAAGCCACCTCTCCTGAAATGACTGGTAACTCCCCCACCCTCCACACACTCCAGGCCGCCCCACCCCAACACCAGCCATTATTTAGAAAGTCGTCGTGTCTGACAGGTGGGGCTCTTCCTGGAACTGGTGACCTTGTCTCTTCCGGCTGAAGCTCAGCCATCAGGAAATCCCCTCTGGACAGAGCTGGCCATTGTCGCTCAGATCCTCATCTGGACAACTGCACAGACAAGCAGAGGGAGGTCCAATTAGAAACTCTGTTTTCTTGTTATAAGTAAATATGCAGGCGAGTCCTGTGATCCCCTGGTAAGTTCTACCCTGCACCTGGAGTGTAAGGCAAAGGCAAGTGTTGGGATGGCATGGAGACTCTGGACAGCAAGGCTTGTCATCCCTGGGGAGCCCCCAGGCCAGCAGGACACGGGGGCACAGCACACACCACCTCCAGAGACTGCATGGAGCACTCGATGTGCCTTAGCACGTATTTCTTAAATGTAAGAAACAGAGGCCTAAGCTGAGGTGCTGGAGTTTTGCCAGTGGTGTGACTGCTGCCTTTGCTCTACTCAAATCCAGATATAAATCAGCAGGCAGCTCTTTGCAAATTCCCAAATCTGGGACCACCAAGGCCATGTACCACCACCTCAAATCCCTTGAGGCTGTATTGCTGTCAGGGTGTCTTTCCCCCTACTATCTCCCATGATGGTTGAGCTGGAAAGAAAAAGTAAGCTATTCCCACAAAAATGTCAATTCTCACTGGACAACAGAAAGGCAGTGGGTGATAGGTTGTAGAAGCAGTACTTAGCAAAAGCATGCCCTGAACGTTTCAGGTGATAACCACAAAGATTTAGAAAATCTTCAAAAAGCAGTGCTTCCCAAACAGTGGCCGCACCCTCAGGGATGCGGAGCGCTTTCTGGAGGATGCAGAGGCCACTGTCAGTATTCTCAGGGGGACTGGCAATACTCTGCACTCGAGAACTGAATGGTCCCTGGGTGTTAACACACATTTGACAGCTAGACTGGAAAACAGAATAACAATTCCACCAGGGAGAGCTATCCCAAGGTGACCACTGACAACCACATTCTCCAGGACTATCTGAGTCCTCTGTCTCCAGCCCTGAAGAGCACACAAAGAGATTCCCAGGAGCTGTCCTGTCTCTCAACTCTGAGGAGGATGGAGGCAGGAATGCAGGAAGAACCTTCCTGACCATGGGCACAGAGCCCAACCAGGCGCCAGGGGAAGCTGGGTGGGAAGCAGCCGTATACATTGACTTTGCACCTTTAGTTCCTGCTTATTTCAGTTCCCTTTAAAGAACATCTATGCCAACAAAACAACAACTGGACTTTGGAAATTGCAATCATAATTCATTGTATTTCCATTCATTTCTTTAAGAGTGTTCATGGACTTTCAGAACATAGTTCTTCCCTGCTTCCTACTGACTTGAGTACTTTCCTCAACCTGTATATCCTAAGGAAAGAGAATGCAGGAGAGTACTTCAAAAAGCTTGAGGAAAATTAAAATCAAGAGATCATTTATTTTCGTGCAAAAAAATTTAAAATACTCGCACAGTGTATTCATAATATGCATTCTACATGATCTTTTCAAAATACTCTTGTATTTTTTAAAGTGTTTTTATTTGAAAGGCAGTTACATGCACACACACACATGCACACACACATACACACACACTCAGAGAGAGAGAGAGAGAGAGAGAGAGAGACACTTTTCTATCCTCTGGTTCACTTCGCAAATGGCCACAATGGCCGGGGCTGGTTCAAACCAAAGCCAGGAGCCAGGAACTCCATCCAGGTCTCCCATGTGGGTGCAGGGTCCCAAGCACTTGGGCCACCTTCTGTTACCTTCCCAAATACATTAGGGAGCTGAATTGGAAGCAGTGCAACTAGGACTTGAACCAGCACTCTGATATGGGATGCCAGCCCCCAAATACCCTTGTTTAAACTTCACATGGAGCTGTTAATGGCTGGCGTCTGATCATTTCCTGAAAATATAACTCAGTAAGGGGTGGAAGAAAGCTAAAAGAACTATTCTTGAAAAAGAGACAAGAACAGGAGGAGGTTTGGAAAAAGAGAAAAAGGTGCTAGGTAAGGTGAGATCCACTTCCAGAGAGAAACTCATTTTCCCAGGGCATCTCCTGATGAAATGATGCAGTGCCTCTGTCAACAAGTGCAGACTCTGGAGCCTACTAGCTGAGTTGGAATCCTGGCTCTGCCATGAAAGGCTGTGTGACCTTAGACAAATTGTTTGGCCTTTCTGCACCTGTGCTTTCTTATCAGTGACACACGGATAGTAACAGCCGCTACCTCTTAGATTGTCTTGGCACAGGATGTTGAATACATCCCAGCAATAGTTATCTTTGTTATTGCTGTGCAGTGAAGTAACTAGAAAATAAAGGTAGACAGCCCAGAAGGCAGAATGAGCTCTGCACACCTGTGGTGTTCACAGGTGTATAGAGGTCGTAGCCAGGGATACGTCTCTATGGGTGTGGCTATCTGTAACCACTTCAAAGAGATGGGGCTCTTCCGCTGAGCCTTGAAGGATATTTGATTTTGAAGGATATTGTAGGAAATCTGACCTGAAGGCGGGATTAGCTAGGAAATGTGCATTATGTCAAAGTAGGGGGTGGAACTGTGGAACTGGGGGTGAGGCCATTAGCAAAGCCAATGAATGGCAGTTTTTCAGAAAAAAAAAAACACTCCATGATGAAAGGAGATGAATGTCATGAGATTAACCAGGTGACAGTGTGCACACAGAGACGGCAGTGTGAATGGTGTCTCTAGAACAGTGATGCCTGTTGTCCAATAGCTGTCACTACAGAACCAAACCTACTCTCAGTTCTCTACATTTAGCAGTCATTTGGTCTTTATAATAACATCGTGTGGTAGGATGCATTTATACCACAGTATTGGTAAAGATCAAGGCACAGAGAGATGAGGTAACTTGTGCAAGGTCTCACAGCCATTTTCTAGTCAACCTAGGATTTGAACTCACCATCTCCAGGGTCCTTATTCTTAACCATTGTACTATATGATAATAACTAAAAATTTTAAGAGCTTACTATGTGTCATGTTGTAGTTTAGTCATTTTTCATACAACCTTATGATGTTGGTACTGTTTTTATCCCCATTTTACAGAAAAGAAAACTGAGGCACATTAAGGATAAGTAACTTCCTCAAGGTCACAGAGCTAGTGAATGGCACAGCCTTGTACCCAGGCTTCTTAGCCCTTATCACAGAAACCTGCAATGGAACCATCCAGAATAAAAAGGAGCGGAGGAGGGGGAAAAGCTTCTAAACAGGGGTCTGCACACTGATTAAACAGCCCCACAGACAGCAGAAACAGTGAGATGGGGATGGGCTGAGCATGAGAAGAGGTCGTGAGACTTGACTAAAAGGCCACTGGAATGACTCAGGGTTCAAGTCTTAGTCAGAGAGCACAAGTTTAAAGCATTGTGATTTATGTTTCTTGACAGGACTCAAGCTGCAGGAACACTGAGACACTCAGATAGGGGTTTTTCTTCCGCCCCTGGATTCACAGGCTGGTCTATAAAAAGTGCACTCCCAAGTCCCACCACAGAGGCAACTCCATTTCCTTCCCCCACCCTTTCCATTGCGGTTTGCCCACCACCCTTGGGACACTTGGTGCTGACCCAAATCTGCAGCCTCCAGCTCAGCTCTAACATTTAAGGGTGTGTAAGCAGGAGGCCATAGTGAAAGAAACCTCTCTAACATGAACTGACAATTTTCAACAATGTTCTTTCAGAGTCTCCATGAACATGAGCTAGCCAGTGAGGAGCCACTAAGGCAAAAGCGAGCAGGTATGTACAATCTTTGCTTGATAATCACTTTTATAAACATGATCAAATGACAAAGGCTGCAACTCTTTAAAGATCCTGTGATGACATCATTTAGTTTCCAGGCACCTCTGAGTCAAATAGTACAATTCCACTGCTAAAAAATAATCCCAAATGGGCGCCGGGTTCTGGTCCCGATTGCTCCTCTTCCAGGCCAGCTCTCTGCTGTGGCCCTGGAGGGCGGCGGAAGATGGCCCAGGTCCTTGGGCCCAGTACCCGCATGGAAGACCCAGAGAAAGCTCCTGGCTCCTGGCTTCGGATTGGCCTGGTGCCAGCCATAGCAGCCATTTGGGGAATGAACCAAAGGAAGGAAGACCTTTCTCTCTGTCTCTGTCTCTCTCTCTCTGTCTATGACTCTACCTGTCAAATAAAAAAAAATAATTACAGAGGACTCCATCCTATTCAATGACACTAGATGGATTGTAGCAATGCATTATAACTTTCCATTCCTCTACCATCACCATCACCACTCCTCATATTCCCAAGATTTCCCTATGGCTTTCCCATATCCTCAACTGCCCTCTGGCATCACCAAAAAGCCTGCTTCTCTACTCAATGCAGCAGTCTTCTTTTTAGCCTTCTTGTTTGTTTTCTTTTTTTTTTTCCAGCTACTCTTTCATTCAGCACTTTGTTTTGTGGATCACGTTGAGACAGAGGCTCAAGCCCTTCACCTCTGTTTCCCACTCCGTTTTTCCCACTGAACCCCAAGGAACTGGACTGGGCAACTGAAGACTCTTGGAGGGTCAGGAGCAAGTGGAGAGCTGTGAGCACTGCCACACTGATCCTCAGTGTCCAGTGCCAGATGCAGAGCCCTGTGTGGGTGTCAGTGTGTTCCTGCAGGCTGGATATTCCCAGGACCCCATCCTCCTACTCCTATCACAGTGACCTTTGAAAAGCATACATGGGATCCTATCATTGCCCTCCATAAAACCTCTTCTTGACTCCCCACCACCTTGGAGCTACAAGCCGATCTTCTCATGCCTCACCAGGCCTTGCATGCTTTTCCTCTTCATCTCCTTTGGTTCTTTTTCATACGGTTGATGCCCTGCCTGTTGTTCCCCTTTGTTTACCTGGGGGACTCTTTGAGCCTTGGTTACACCAGCTCCTGCTGTGCAAGGTCTCCTACAAACTCCCCAGACCACCAGGGACTGCTTTTCCTGAGTTTCTCATACTCTTTTTAAAAGATTATTTATTTATTTGTTTATTTATTTGAGAGGTAGAGGTACAGAGAGAGGGAGAGACAGAAAGTTCTTCCATCTGCTGGTTCACTCCCCAAATGGTCCCGATGGTGGGAGCTGGGCTGATCTGAAGCCAAGAGCCAGGAACTTCTTCTGGGGCCCAAGAAGCCTGGCAGGGGCGCAAATACTTGGATCATCTTCCACTGCCTTCCTAGGTATGAGTAGATAAACTGCATCAGAAGAGAAGCAGCTGGGACTCAAACCAGTACCCATATGGGATGCCAATGCTGCAGGCAGAGGCTTAGCCTACTGTGTCACAGTGATGGCCTCTACTACCCTTGAAACATGTCTGTACCCTAAGATTTGCCTCAGTGCATACTAGTTATTTTACTTCCTTATGGCCATCCCAAATAGAAGTGAACACCCTTGAACTCATTTCATCTCCATTGTCTCACATCCAGTGAAGTTTCTCTAATGAAAAAATGAAGATCTTGCATATCATGTCATAGATACCTCTTTCTGAGTTTCTATTGGCAAGGCTCTGCTGGTCTCATGGCTGTACCACATTTCTAGGGAGTAAAACTTCATAACCGTCACATCTTCAGGCAGCTGAGACTTGATCTGAGTAGTTGTGTGGTTGACAAGAGATACCAGGCTGCCCAAAAGAGCATGTGCAACCTGTGATCAGAATAGACGAGCCTGTTAGAGCCCTCACGGTGCAACAACCAGACCCAGCGGCTTCCCAGTACTTTCATGAAAATTTGACCACATTTTACTAGGTTCGGGAAGTACTCATGGATCCCCTTCTTTTCTTTCTGCCTTCATTTCATTAGCCCTGTAATATCCTTCTCTGTGTTTCTGTCTCTTTCTCAGAGTGGACAGCAACCCAACCCAGATGTGCTGTGTTCTAAAGCCAGAATCCTTACCTCTGCCTCACACTGACAACCTGTTGAGCTCTCCCACACTCTGTGAAAAAGCACAGAGCCAGAGATTGCCCTTTTGGTGTTATGGCTTTTAAAATCCAACCATTTTCTCTAGGTTTCTGCCAATTTCTTCTAGGGCTCAGGCCGCCAGCTTCCTCTGGGGCAGTTGGTGACCCTACAGCTGTCAAAGAAACATCTTCCCGTACTTCCGAACTCAGCTGTTTATGACCCATGGTGACAGTGTGAGGGGGCAGCCCTTGGGGAGGAAACCACTTCTACATCTAAGGATTTTTCCAAAAAAATTTCCAGGCACGCTTTCATTAAAAACAATCATGTCGATGATAAATCACCATGAAAAACATGTTTTCCATTTATTAGACATGGTCATCTGCTCTCTTGGCCCTCTAGAGGGAACTAAAAAAATCGATCCATCATCTGCAGAAAAGGTATTGGCCTTGGTACTTTTACAAAACCACTGAAGTGAGAAATGGCCATAGGAAGGCCCAGGAGCTGGGTCCCTGGAGAGTGGAACTGTAAGTTGCAATTAATTCAGAGCAGGACTTTCCAGGAAAATGAGAAAAGAAGGCAATAGGAATGTTACAATGGGCAGGGTGCCACAGGGAGGTGTCTGGGTTCTTTCTTCTTGGTGTGTGAATTAAGTTAGGTGTTAGGGTTGGGCTATGATTTTCTGAGAGGTATTCCCTTTCATATACACACCCATTGCCCTTTCTGACACCTTGATGCCTCTCTTGTTCCAAGAGAAAAAGAATTAGATCAAAAATTTCCTCTTGAGTCACGGGGCCCAGTCTTTAAGGTTTGGAATGCAGTCATCTTTAAAGGTAGGAGCAATTCTGGTATTTATTCTTAGCATACCATGGACCTCTGCCCAAGTAACAGTGGTCTGTTCTATAGCCTAACTGGCCCGTTGATACCTACAATCTTTCATTGCTATTGTGAGTTCTGCATCCAGGGAACTTACTGCAGTTTGAAAATACTCAGAAATTTCATCTGTGCAGACTTCTTGTTCCTTGTTATTTCCTAAGCAATACTGTATAAGACCTATTTATATAGTACATACATTTTATTAGGTATTGTAAATAATCTTGAGATTATTTAAAGCACAAAGGAGGATGTATGTAGATGATATTGCAAATAATACTCTGCTTTATCTAACTGGAGCATCTGTAGCAGGTCCTGAACCCAATTCACTGCAGATACTGAGGGATGGTTGTACATATATTATGTAGGTAACCTGTAGGTGTCACATCCATCTCTCTCTCTCTCTCTCTTTCTCCCCCCCCCCCACGTGCACTCACACACATATATCATAGTTGTTTCCTGACAGGATTGTGGAGGGGATTGGAGAATGTCATGTACACATTAGTTTAGAAATGGTAATAGAATTATCTGGGGTTTATTTATTTTCTTCTTTTGACCATTTGAAAAAAGGTAAAAACAAAACCACAGCCAACCTATTTCTTAGTAAGAATGATATTGCCTTTCAAAGGTCTGATGCACCACTGGCACATAGAAAATTGTGGTTAAAGGCATGAGGATGAATGGCATAGGTACTGGCATGTTAGGAAATTGTCCAAAACACCACTGAGGAAGATGAACCTGCATAAACACCCAGGGGCCCACTGCAGGCAGGAGTGTGGAGCTCCCTGCTAAAGCAGAATGGCTGCTGCAGAACAGAGGGAAATCATAGTGGGCCAAAGAATGCAGAATTAAGTTGTGATCACATCAGGAAGTAGATCTTAGGTCAGCTGAGGGACTGTGACAGAGGAGTGACTAATGAAACTCACCTTAAAGGAAAATGATGCAAGTGATTAGGGTTGAAGGAAATACATGAAGAAATCTTTGGAGACTGACTAGGAGGCTCAGCAGCCTGGAGATGCATCCCCTGCCATGGTGTAGGGGAGGAAGGAAGCAGAGAAAATATTTGCCAAGGGCATTTTGAGAAAAGGAACAGAAGGGTGTGGATCCAGATGGAATGAGGTGAAGGCAATCAACGTTTTTCCTGACTCTCCAGAGGTGGATGGACTTGGGAGAGGTGTGTTAGGGAGGCCACAGGTAGAGACTGGAAGGAAAAACATATGCTGGAGGTTTACCCATAAGCTCAAAAGTTAGCTTTAAAGGAGATTGTCATAGAAGACTAAACATGGACTTTGATTGTTTAAAAGTAACACAAGTGCTCAGTTGTGTTAAATTTGTTAAGTTCCTGATCTTGATTGGGAAAAGTATCTTGGGCCTTGCACTGGAAAGTCCCATTGCTTCTTCTTTGGCTTCAAAAAGAATGCTTGGTCAGAGGCGAAATAGCAGGACAGGGAGGTCCAGGATGTCCAAACCCTTCATTGGCCACTCCAAAAAAATTTTCACACCTGTTTAGTCTGAGCGAGATTCCTACCATACCAGGTTGCTGGCTGCTGATGCGGAAATCCTGACCTTTCTGCAGATCTGGCATCTGGGTGTGCTGACCCCTTCTGATCTGGGTCCAGGAAATGTTGTGCTCTTGCCAGACTGAGGACAGATTTTTGGGTTTTTATACTTATGACAAGTAGCATTTAGTTCTCTGGGTAAGTAGTGATGATGGGGGAATGAGAGGAAAGGATTGACACTTCCTGGCTGGTGTGTGGATTTGGTATTGGCTTTGACATAGAGGGGTAGGAGTGTTTTGCTTTTTTAAAAAAATCCTGATTAATGTTATTCCTCCTTTTTAAAATTTTTATTTTATTTGAATGGAAGAGAGAGAGAGAAAGAGACAAAGACCTCCCATCCTCTGGTTGACTTTCCAGACCCCTAGGAAATACGAATTCAGTTTGGTTCTCCTATGTGAATGGCAGGGATCCAACCACGTGAACCA